CTTCAATTCCTTTTCAAACAACAACTTTTGATGTACATTTTACAATTTCATATTTCTTTAACAAACTCATTTTAATCATTCTCTTAAACAAACAAACATAAAGATATCTTTGCAACACTGGGAGAGACTAACTTAATTATGCACAACAAAATACAATGTAAAGGCTGAGAAAGTGTGTTTTGCAAATGTCCCCTTTATTTCATGTTTTACATGCTTTTTTTTGTCGGTCAGCTCTTGTCTGCAATTTTATATTTTGATGCACATCCACTAAGTGCAAACTACCCCAATAATCAAATATATACTGGATTCCTGACGTCTGGATTGTCTGGTCACTGTAACAGTACATCACTGTCTCCACCCTTTGTTGCTTATCCCTAGGTTTTGGAGGTAGATGGTCTAGGAGAGAACCCCAGACACCGCTCGAGTAGTAGCAGCTCTAATCTGAACCCCAGCTTAGATGATGGAACTTCTCACCCTGTATTAAAAACTGAGTCCACACTGCAAAAAATGTCCACCTAACCAAGTTTTAAAATCTTATATCCAGCCCAAAAGTCTTTTTGATCTTATTTTGAGACTGATTTACTAAACAAGAACTAATTGTGTAAGAATAATAATCTTGTTTTCAGAATGCGTAAAATTATTTGTCTTGTTAGTTAGAAAATTTGACTCTATTTTAAGTAAAAATTTCTGCCAGTGGAGTAAGAAAATTTTACTTGGTAAGATTCTTAAAATACTTGATTTGACTCAGTTTTTTTCTTATTTCAAAATTATTTGAAATAAGATCTTATTTCTTATTTCATCACTGAGAATGAAGCCCCGGATCCATCTATCCTTCTCTCGCTCTATGAAAAAGATGCTCAGATATTTGAACTCCTCCAGCCGAGGAGGTGAGGAACACTACCCACTGAAAGCATAAAGACATGCTGATCCTGCAAATCATCATTTGAAGAAGAAACTGTTCAGCAGCTGATCCTCATCCCCCATCTGGTAAAACTCAGTCCTTTTTGTGCTGTTTGTGTTGCTGGGGTCTCGTAAAAACCAGAGCACATAAATGTCTGGCTGCGTGTTGATTGCTGAGCAGCAGAGAGTCATCAGATTGAGGCGCTCCTACGCCTCGTTCTTCTTGTTCATCTTTTCCTCATCAGAGTTTGTGAGCTGATGCAATATATTTATTGATATTTAACATGTTTTGTTTGAAAGTTTGGGAATTTCATTTAGGTTAGATAAAGTATTTTAGTTTTATGGTAAGCTTATCTTAAATAATATATGATAAGTATGCCAATTAAAAGGCAGGGATGCTCTAGAAGATGAATGCTTTGACGGTAAGATTTAATGCATAAAATAATCCAGTCTTATAATATTTCATATTTCAGTTGTCTGATGTGGGGATTGTGGACAATTGTGGACAATCAGAGAAGATTTTGTGCAAAAACAAACAAAAAACCCCCCAACAAATTAAGTTTTATCAGGTTAAAAAAATCTATTTTAATCTTCTCCACTTAAAAGTTTTTGGTCTCTAATCGTCTTTATTGACAGCTTCTGCTTGGCTGTTTCCTCGCGCTAATTCAGCAGGGCGTTTTTCAGAAAATCTAATGACCCAAGAGAGAAAAACAAACTTATTGGCAAACAAGATCCTGGCACAGACAGAGGATGCTGAGGCACGGAAACGCTGATTGTTCGATGAACAAACGGAGCCAAAAGTCACAGCTTCTGCTGTCGGTGCAGATTATTTGCTTCCAGCATGCTCCTCCTGTCTCACCAAACCTCTGCACTTCCTACCTTCACCACATCAATGAACTTCATATTTGGTCTTCGTGTTTCACCCCATCCTCACAGCTTCTTGTTTAACATCCAATACATTCACTGTTTCTCTTCTGCATGTCTAAACCATCTTGTCTTCAAACTGTTCAACCTGAGCTGAACCAGTGATGTACTCCTTCGTCCATTTTGGTCACTTATTAAAATTCTTGACATAGCCTCTGGGTTACAACCCTCATATGATGTAAAAAAATTGCCATAACATGGAAGCTTTTGGTAGGGATGTGACAAGGTCTTCAGGTGTGGGCTTCTCACTGTGATAAAGCATGGTAAATATGGAGAAACATCCACAGTGAGGTCATGGTGGTTTATCACTGTGGTGGGCTGTGTTCTGGGGGTCTTGAGTGGAACTTAGAGGAGCACGATG